CCCCCCCCCATTCCAAGAAAATAACTGGTGTCCTAGGAGAGTGAATGACAAGAAACAGACCATCACTTCAACAGGGAAGTAGACAGACCAGTCGTGATGGTAATACAGGAAATGGTTATGAACTGAACAGTAGCAATGGATGAAAAAGAGAGGAGGAGATCAACAACAAAAAAAAAGAGATGCGGGGAAAGACTGGGGGGTGGGGGGTGGTGTCACAATATCCCCCTGCCATTGTCCTGCCCCATCCTGTAAAGAAAAGGCCCGCACGGGGCGGCTCTACCATATCGTCCCAATCACCAGACGGCGACAATGCTATTATCCCAGCTCTCGCCCTCCCACCCCACGGCCCGACAGTGTGCGCACGTGTGCACTCACTCTCCACTCCTCCTCCCTTTCTTGCCTCGAGAGGAAAAGGATACCTCCTCCACACACCCACCCCCACCTCTTCCTCTAAAGTCCACCACGACCCGATATCTCCATCACTCGTCACCCATCATTTGTGCGGAAAGGCGCGTGCATACACACGCACTATGCACCCCCCTCCCCCTCAACCACAATCTCCCCACCCACGCAGTTGTCCGAACGTGGGGAGAAGGGCCGATGATAACACTCACCACCCCCCACCAACCCATCCATTCACTCACAGCCACTTCCCCTCAGGCAGGATGTTACAGTGAAGTTTCCTATCTTCGTTTCATATCCTGCATCATCATTCATCGCGGTATCTCTCCATCAAGTTACATTTCACGTGGCACAGTTTCTCCACATATCTTTCCTGGAGTACTACAAATCCTACTACAACTACAACCATCAGCAACTATAACTACAACTAAAGCTATCAGTAATTACGACTACAACCAAGTCTTTGCTCCTCGTGAGTCCAACAACACCAATAAAGGGCGGACCTTTCTCCATCAACACCTACAAAAAACAATCAAGCACCCACCGCGGATGTGACAGCCAGCCAGCCAGCCAACGGGGAGACCTTCTTGTGCTTTCATGACACGTTCACGCTTCAGCGACTGTGCAAAGAGGAAACCACTCTACGTGATGACAGCCTGCAACACAAAAGGTCAGGATCAAACTTTGGTATCTTATTTCACTTGCTGCCCCCACACACAAGTTGATTGGTTTTGAAACTCTATACACACATTTTTTCATGTTGCTTATGAAAGGGCGTCGGGGG